TACGCCTTTTTGAGACCACTCTGTCTCTACTTTCTAAACTCTCTAAAATAACCTAACTCTCACGTTGGTTTAGGACTCTTAGTTCTCTTCAGATTTAATCCAGGGAAGAAAACACTAAAAAGAAAAGATTTAGTGAAAACAGAACAAAGGAGAACAAACCACTCTGAACAGTAAAATTCCTTTTCTGAATGTTTGAAATTCCTTTTCCTGTTCAACTGTTACATTGGTGACATTTTCCTAGTAATCTAATCTCTCTACTTTTTACTTATAATGACTGAAATTAAGATCTTTAGATTCTTGGAGATTTTAGTTAGTTTCTGAAGTTGTGGTTCAATAGCCCGGTAAGAGTACCCAGTTTGCCTGTAGGGTAGCACAGAAAGGTCGAGGATGCGTAGGCCATGGTCCTCCCTCTGCTGGCCAGTGGGTGAATTTTTGCAACTCAGCTGGGGCCCACGCTCTCCAGTTCTCTGCCAGGCTGCAGTTGGTCCCTACAGTGGTTGTGTTACTTTTTTTTTTTTTTTTTTTTTTTGAGTCTCACTCTGTCGCCCAGACTGGAGTGCAGTGGCCGCTCCCGGCCACCGCAGCCTCGACCTGCTGGGCTCCGGCGATCCTTCCACCTCAGCCTTCCGAGTAGCCGAATTACAGGCGCGCGCTACCACACCCGGCTAATTTTTTGATTTATTGTAGAGATGAGGTCTCGCTGCCCAGGTGGGTCTCGAACCCGCGGGCTCAGGCAATCCACTCATCTCAGCCTCCCAAAGGCGCGGGATTACAGGTTGAGCCAGTTACTTTTTTAAAAGAATAGTCCCCCAACCCCCCTTAAAAAACGACCAAAAACAAACAAAAAAGTAGAGACAGATTTCAAGCTCATCGCCCTTTCAGGGGCTTTGGAGAAGGCAGGGTGGGCTACCTCTTGGCGGCGATTTGGGCTTGCTGCTCTTTGTGAGAGTTGTGGTTTAAGGGAATTCCCACATCTCTTGAAGGCTACACAAGAATATCAAGTGCTTTGTTTTCATTTGTATTTTAAATCTATCTCTGTATTTTCTCAATGGGCAGCTGACGATCGTTGCTATTCATAGCTGCTTCTCAAAGCTGTGTTGGCCTCAGCTGGAATTCTTGTCATTTTCCTTCTAGAAGGAACTAACTTGGGAGTTTACAACCGTTACTGTTGAGGGAGACTTCAAGTTCTCAGCATGGTTTTGCCTAAACTTAGCTATCAGCACTGCTGGGAGGAGACATGAAAGCTGTTGCTAGTCATTGTAGTCTTTTAAAGAAAAGCAGATTCACCTTAAAGTCTTGTTTGCTTAAAACTGAAATGGGCCTACTCCATCAACTGCCGTCAGGCCAAGGACAGCCAGCATGCAGCAGGGAGAGCTTTCTAGATCACATCTGCACGTTTACATTGAAGTGGAGCAGTTGTCAAGTAGGACCCGGTGATCCTGGTAACTGAATGCCTAAACTAGAAGTTTATTTATTTAATTTTGAGTTGGAGTCTCACTTCGTTGCCTAGGCTGGAGTGCAGTGGCATGCTCACAGCCACCCCAGTGGCATGCTCACAGCCACCCCAGCATCAACCTGCTGGGCTCTGCCGATCCTTCCGCCTCAGCCTTTCAAGTAGCCAGAACTATAGGCGCGTGCTCCTGCACCCAGCTAATGCTTTTGATTTATTGTAGAGATGCGGTCTTGCCAAGTTGCCCAGACTGGTCTCGAACCCACGGGCTCAGGCAATCCACTCACCTCGGCCTCCCAAAGTGCTGGGATTCCAGGCTGAGCCACTGAGCCCAGCCAGAACTTTATTTCTTAACAGTGAAATCTAACCCAGAGGCTGTCTTTATTCAGAGTTTCTTTGAGCACACACATTAACATCTGTATTGATTTCTGTATCTGTACAGATAGATATCTGCCTATTTATGCATATTGAAAGCCTAGCATTTGTTTCACTATCTCCAGTTCCATCTAGCTCTGCAGGGTGTTCTGGTTTTCTCTCTTTCCAGATTTGTAACTCCCTTCTCTGACCGTGAGAAATCTGGCTTTCATTATCCTCAGTATCATTTCTTATTTGATCAGACTTCTCATACATATGAGAACGTGTTGTGCTCCGCTGCTGTCCCCCCCAACCCCCCAGCATAAATACCCTCCTCGCACTTCTTGGGCTGTGATACTGGGATGATGCTACCATTGCTTTCTCCTCCTCACAACTGAGGCTCTCAGGCGCGAACACTCTGTTCTGGGTTGCTCAGATGTTCTCCTAACCTTGCTTGGTCTCCAGTATCCCGTGCTCGGTTGCCACAGCTGCCCTATACCCCTGCCCCCAGCGCAGAAGCCTTCCTCCCTCCTTAGGACTCTGATAGCCTGTGCCACTTCCCTGCTCGTTCCTCAAGTAGAAGCCCCCACCCCACTAGGGCTTTGGCATTCCAGGTGTGCCCACTCTTCCCTGCACCTGCCATGCAGAGACTCCTCTTCCCTCTGAGACTCCAGCACTCTGCACCTCCCCACCCCACAGACACCCTCTTACCCCTCTTGGATGCCCACATGTTTATTCTTACTCTGGGCAGTGTGGAGCTCAAGCTTTGTGCTGTCAGCTCTTCTCAAGCAGAAAGACTCCAGGAACATCCATGAGATCCATCATAGAACCAGGATCTTATGAATTGAAGAGAACTTTGGGAACCGTCTAGCTCAAACTTTATGCATGACTTTTTATTATAACAACTTAATAAAAAGTTTTCTGATTTATACTGAAAAACTCACACCTCACAAGATAGTCCATTTCATTTTTGAATAGCTTTAATTGTTAAGGTGCTGTTTCTGATTCATCCTTCTGAAAACTAATACTTTTACAGAAGATAAACTGTTGCTCAGAGCTGGGAGTAGAATCCAAAGTCTTTTTCAGTATCTAGAATACTCTTGGCCATAAATATCCAACATTCTGTTCCATGGATTGTAATTCAGGAGAAAATTCACCAGGAAAAAGGAAGCTGTCTGTACAGCTGATCTAAACCATGTCCCTGCTGGGCTGCTGTTCTGTGTGGTTCTTATTTCCACCACCCTTTCCTTGGCCTCTGGGTCTTGGCCACCTCCTGGGGCAGGGCCACCCAGTGGAACTTTTGCAGTGAAGATGCGGTCTCATGTCAGGTGGTCACTAGCCACATGGGCTGCTGGGCACTGGAAGTGGGCTAGTGTGATGAAGAAACAGAACTTCTAATTTTACTTAATTTTAATTAGTTTAAATGTATATGGCCTTGAGGCTCATTGCTGTAGGACAGTAAATTCTGGAAACCTGCCAGTTCTTTGTTTTCTTAACTGTGATGTGGGAAAATACCCTTTTGCTCTTAGTTCAGCTGAGTAAGGACATCACCAGAAGCAGTGATCCTGGGGACTGACCAGCTACCTGGGTGCGGAGCGCGTTGCCCTGCTCTCTGGCTGGTGAGGCGGTGTTCCTCACTCAGTGCTTTTTGAGTTTGGGACCTGAAGCTTATGCTCTTCAAGAAAAGATGGCCTTCTCAGTTAGAGTGGTTGCTCTTTGGCCATGGGTGGTCCCCAGGCTGCCATAAGGTGGGCCCCAGCTAGAGCCTCCAAATAAGTCTAAGCAACTAAGGAAAAGTAACCATCACCCTTCCTTTCTTAAAAAAACAAAACAAAACAAACCAGACGGGAAGACTATGGGTCTTTGGTCCTTCGGACCTCATCTTAACTTGCCTGGCAGCATGGCCGATGACTTACATAGCCCTAGTGTTTTCCTTGGCCGGTACCAGTTTGACCTGGATTTGAATACTGCGTCTAGGTCTCCTGAGTGTTTCCTTTCTTCCTGGAGCCTGCTCTACACGAGTCTTCACTGTAATGGTGATTTCTAGTGGTCCCTCAGCCTATACAGGTTGACTCTTCCTTAACTGAAATTCTTGGGACAGAAGCTTTTGGATTTTGGATATTTTTGGATTCTGGAGTATTTGCATTATTCTCCTGGTTGAGCATGCCGAATCAGAAAAAATCGAAATCCAAAATGCTCCAATGAGCATTTCCTTTGAGTGTCGTGTGGTACCCAAAAAACTTTGGATTTTGGATTCCAGATTTTCGGATGTGGGATGTGCAGTCTGTGTAGCCTCTATGCTCTATACCCTCTGCTTTGGGGAGGCTTGCCTTTCAGTCTTGCCTTGTCATCTGGCCTCTCCAGAATCTTCCTCTCTTCTTCAGGCTTGCTGACTTTGTATTCCCTTTTCTGTCCCTTATGGAGACCTGCATGACATAGATGCTTAGGAATCCTTTCTGCCCTCTGTCTGCCTTTACACACCCTTACCATCCAGATGCCAAGACTGTTGTCTCCATGCTTTGCTCTTCAAGGGAAGATGGCCTTCTCAGTTAGAGAGTGCTTGTTAGACAGTATTTCCCCTTCTTGTTTTCAACTACCAGTTAGGTCTTCCTCCCATTTCTGTGGCCTTGGTGACGAGGACTTTCTTAGAGCCTCTCAATAGTGTCCGGAAGCTGTTTAGCAACCAGAGCATCATTCCTGCAGCTCTTGGGTTGGATGCCTGAGCTGGCCATCAAGCTCCTGCTGTCTCTGTTTGAAAGTCGCAGCCAGCCTTCAGTTCCTTTCAGATCAGAGACACAGCTAGAACTCACGAGGATGTTTTGGTTCTTTCCAGATAATCGATAGACTTAACCAATTTCTCTCTCCAGACATAATCAAATGTATTTGTGTTTATAGCATGCTCTCTGAGCTTGGCATGTTATGTGCATTTCCTTACAACAGTGAGAATTGTTCCTAAGTAAGATTTGTTATGACCTGCATAGTATTTCAGCATTTGAATGAGTCACACCTCACTGTCTTACAGCATGTGATATTTTAAATATTTATAATGCTACAGAAGATAATTTGCACACAAAAAAACCAGTGGATGTGAAGAGTGATGAGGAAACACTTGCTGCCGTAGTTTAATGTTGATGTTTACCTTACCTCAGCCAGCGAACCGCTGCAGTTTTCCAATATTCGTTTTTTTCCCTTGCAGTCCACGGCGACACTTCCTCCTGTCCTCGCAGACAGGTCTCCATCCTGAGTACAGAGAGGACCTAGAAGCCCTCCAGGCCAAACATGGCGAGTCGGTGTTAGTACTGGATAAATGCACCAACCTTTCAGAGGGTGTCCTTTCTGTCCGCAAGCGTTGCCATCAACACCAGGTCTTCGATTACCCCCAAGTGCTGCAGGTGAGTGTCACTCGTCATTCTCAAGGCTCAGTGAAGGCTCAGTGAAGGTCGCTTTTGCAGGGTAAAACTGACTCCGGCAAACCCAAGTTGTTTTTCACATGCAGCTAGAGTAACCCAGTGGGGGAAAAAATGTAGCATCACTCTTCCCTGGACACTCAGACCTTCGGGTGCCTGGATGTCTGCTGTCGTGTACTCATGCAAAGCTGCTTAGTCTGAGAGAGTTCATAAGCCTTTCAAATAGTCATTATACTCCAAAAATGCAAATCCAGCAGATTTGCTAAGACGCTGCACAAAGTAGGCACATATATCTTGCTTTTACCCCTGTATTTATAAACCAGTCCAGAGAAATGTTCTTTAAGGTGCCAGCTTGTATCCTGGGACCATGCTGGCCTCCAAGGCCATAGGCAGCTTTCCTGGGAGTGGAGAGCTTTCGGTTGTTTTGTTTTCTTGGTTTTGGGTGTTCTTGCCACCCTTTGCATGTCCCACCAGTAGCATGTCCTTTATTTACATCATGAGAAGGGTGGCTTTCATAACTTTAGGCACTGCAGTCCCTCTGGGGATGTCTTATAAGCAGGATAGTTGGCATTCCAAGTGGATGGGGGATGGGAACGAGAAATGGAGCTTTGTTCACTTAAATATTTAAAAAGCAGCCAGGGTAGTTCAAGGAGGTGTATCGAGGAGCTGGTGTGATTTTTTTTGTTTTTTGTTTTTGGACCTCCAGAGAACTGGCCCATCTGAGATTGTTAGAATACTTTTCTCTCAAAAAGTGCCGCATCTCCCTCTGGAATGTCTGACTGATAACAGTGGTGATATGAGCAGGAGTATTTCTAGTAACCTTTGTCTAGACCGGAAAAATGGCTATCAGCACGTGTGTCCCATCTGGACGCCGACTTCTGAGGTCAGGCAGAATGTGCCTGGCGGCCCGTCTGCCTCCACTCTTGCTGCCTTTCTCATTTGTCCCTGGAGGAGTTTGAAATCTTGAGTTTCTTGATATTTTTTCTGAGCTTTCCTTTTCTCTTAAAGATTAGACAGTAGTTTTTTGTTGTCGTTTTCACCTTCCGAAGAGGCAAAAACTGGGAGAAGCCGAGTGTTAGAGAATTAAGGTCTCTCCTTATTTTGGTCTACCTGTTGCAACTGTTTCTTCTCTGGCACATCTCTCCTTCCCAAGTATTTTTCACATTGAGGGGGCCGAATGGGGTGAATGAGTAAGAAATCATTTGAGATTTTTGCTTTTGTTAAATTTACTGCTTCCTGTGCTGGGCTCGGTGGCTCAGCCTGTAATCCCGTACCTTTGGGAGGCTGAGGTGAGTGGATTGCCTGAGCCCACAGGTTTGAGTCCCGCCTGGGCAGCGAGACCTCATCTCTACAATAAATCAAAAAATCAGCCGGGCGTGGTAGCGCATGCCTGTAATTCTGGCTACTTGGAAGGCTGAGGTGGAAGGATCACCGGAGCCCAGCAGGTCGAGGCTGCGGTGGCCGGGAGCGGCCACTGCACTCCAGTCTGGGCGACAGAGTGAGACTCCAACTCAAAAAAAAAAAAATTTACTGCTTCTAAATTAAACATGTCAGTCTTTTCAAAGGTATTGGCTCATGAAATGAACCTCTGTACACCAAGCACATGCTAGATGCTGTGGGGAGTAGAAAGGTGGGAAGAGACTTGATGCTTCCCCTTTAGGGGGTCCACTAGAGAGCCTAAAATTCCCAGACAAAACAATTTCCTTACAAGGTAGGCTGAGGTAAGTAATGTAAGCAACGTTCAGACAGTGTGCCACGATGTGTTTACATAGTACGCGAGGACAGAGGAAACCGGCTGCAGGAAGTCTCATGTTGAATGCCCGGGGCAAGACTTTGACATTGGTTTTGAATGTTTTCAGAATGCAAGCAGTGGTGGCATTGGAGTAACACTGGTCAGTGGAAATACAAAACATTGCAGCCAGTGAAACTTTTCGAGTCTTACAGGTGTGAAGGAACCACTGTCTTGGCGTTTTTGTGTCAAGATGCTTCAATTTTGTATCAGTCAACCCTTGGGAGAACTTTATGGTCTCCAGCAACCGTTTTGCCATCTCCTACCTCTTGTCTTCCTGCAGGAGGCGACCTTCTGTGTGGTCCTTCGTGGAGCTCGGCTGGGCCAGGCGGTTTTGAGCGATGTGTTACAGGCTGGCTGTGTCCCAGTGGTTGTTGCAGACTCCTATATTTTGCCTTTCTCTGAAGTTCTTGACTGGAAGAGGTGGGTATCACCTTCTGGTAAACTCTAGACTGGTGGTTCTGTGTGTGTCAGGTATTGTAGTGTCTGCCTAGGTTTGAGAACCACTACCTTGGACTGTGTTGCTCTATTTTCCATCAGGAGAGTTAGTACACTGGCCTAGAACAGTTCACATACTGAGGCTTATGGGCCAGATTTGTTGACTGGCTGTTTGGGTGGATCAAGTTTTATTGAAATAGCCATGCCCCTTCATTTACATATTGTCTGGCTATTGTCCTGCCCCATTGGCAGGGTTGAGTCATCACAGCAGAGACTGTGTGGCCTACGAAGCCTAAGGTGTTAGTTACTCTGTGGCCCTTCACCGAAAATGGTTACCAACTCCTAGCCTAGAGCAGTGCTTTTCAACCATGACCGCAGAGGAGACTCAGCTGGGAGCTTTAAAAAATGCCTGGCTTTATATCCAGGGAGTGTGAATTTTAAAGCTCCTACGTAATTCTTTACTTTTAGTTTTTATTGTTTTTGAGTTGGGGGGTCTCACCCTGTCACCCAGGCTGGAGGGCAGTGGCATGATCATTGCTCATGGCTGCCTTGAACTCCTGGGCTCAAGCAGTTCTCCTGCCTCAGCCTCCCGAGTAGCTGGGACTATCAGTGCATACCACCACTCCCAGCTAATTTTTTTATTCTTTGTATAGAAGAGGGCTCACTATATTGCCCAGGCTGGTCTCAAACTCCTTGGTTCAGGCTATCCTCCTGTCTTGACTCCCAAAGTGCTGGGATTACAGGCGTGAGCCACCGTGCCCAGTGGCTCCAAGATAATTTTTTTTTCATAGCCACAGTGAGGACTACTGGTGTAGAGTCTCCGTTGAAGTTGCATAAGGTACTAGCTGGAGTGGAGAGCTTCCACGTGGATGAAAGCTTAGAAACATTCCCAGTATATGGTTGGAACCAGATTCTGCTTGGTGCTGGCTGTTAGTACTGTAATGAACAGAATAGCCCTCTATTCTTGTGTTTAGTGTTCCCAAGACTTTGGAGGTTGAAGAGTACTGAAAATTAATTTGTATTCATCTCTCAGTCTTGTCCTTGTCTCAGTGCTAGATTACTTTCTCCTCCCCCAACTTTTTTGATATTTCTGTCCAAGTCTGATCACCACAGGTATCCGAACAATTTACATAGCACCAAGTCACTCGTTCATCTCACATTGCTTGGAAAGCCTGTTGTAATCACATGGAGTCTCTGTTTCTGAGATGCGTAGACTCTAGGGAGTGAAGACAAACTCACAATTACAATCTTCCGTGGCAAATGCCATAGCTGATGCATGCACAGGGCCTGTGAGAAGGGGAAGCCTGCCTCCACCTGGAAAAGGAGTGGTTACTCTTTCCGTCTTAGAAGTGATGAGCCAGGTTGGACTCAGTGGCTAAGCCTGTAATCCCAGCACTTTGGTAGGCCGAGGCAAGTGAATTGCCTGAGCCCGCAGGTTTGAGACCAGACCAGGCAACTTGGCGAGACTTCGTCTCTACAATAAATAAAAAATTAGCCAGGTGTGGTAGCACACACCTGTAGTTTCTCGGACTACTTGGAAGGCTGAGGCAGAAGGATCGCTGGAGTCCAGCAGGTCGATGCTGGGTGGCCATGAGTGTGCCATTATGCTCCAGCCGCGACTGAGTGAGACTCCAACTCAAAAAAAAAAAAAAAAAAAAAGTGGTAAGTCATTTCCAGCATTCCTCTCCCTGTGAGAACATTTCCTGAGCATCTTCTGTTGACAGACAGGATAGAGGGAAATAAAGATGACCAAGGCCAAACCATTCCTCTAGGAAGCTCATGGTGGTGGAAGATAGAGAAACCAGCCAGCAGGGACCACTTCCTGTGATGGGATGCAGCCTTGACTGGAAGGGATACCCCAAGGAGAGGAAGAGGGAGACACACACCATTGTTGGCAGGGCGATTGGAGAGGCTTCCCAGAAGCGGTACCTCTAAGCAAGTCTGAAAGGATATGCCCTGAATGCACCTGGTCTCACCTGAAGGGAGGTTTCTGTGACGGTCTAGATCTGCTTGGGTAGTGGTGATTATGGGTCAGAGAACCCCGGAACTGAAGTCCTCAGGCCTGGGTTCAGATAACAAGCTCTGTTGCTGGCTGGCTTGCTTTGTGATCTTGACAAAGGATCTGATCTCTCTGAGCCTCAGCTTTCCTATCTGCACAGTAGAAGTCATTTGCTTGTTTGCACGTGTCCATTATGTGCTAATTGTGTGCTGGGCAGTAGCATTCCAGGTGCCGGGGACATGCTGGTGAGGGGAGCCAGGCACGCTCTTCGTCCCTGGCATCGCTGGTGGAAGTGAGGTGGAGATTTTAATAAATTAATTTATACAAATGTGATGATAAACTCTGCTGCGTGTCATAGAGGAAAAGTGATTGTCGAGTCCCGTCTGTCTCTTACCCACCATATTTCATCTGTTAGCAAATCCCATGGGCTCTGCCCTCTCCTCCCTTCCCTCAGCTTCTCCGTCGTCAACGTCTCTTGCCTGGTGTTCACAGTTTTTCCAGTTGCTCCCTTTGCTCCTGTTCTTGCTTTCCTATAGTTCTAGCACTCCAGACAGGACGATCCTGTTGAAACGCGACGGGTCACATGGTGCCTTTGCCCCAAACCTGCTAATGGCCATCCAGCTCCAAGAAAAGCACAGGTCCTTCAGGGGCCTCCCAGGTCCTCTGTGCTTCGTGGTGGCCCTCCTGCCCTGCTGCTTCTTTCCTCCTGCTATTCTCCGTCTCTGTACTCTTCCTAGACCCTTGGCCTCTCTGCACTCCTGGAACACATCCACCATGCTGCTTCCTCAGGGGCACTCCCTTGTGAGTCCTTCTGCCTGGAATGCACTTCCTCAGGCATTCTCACTGCCTGCTTACTGCCTTACCTTCCATGTCTGATTTGTTCACTGCTGTGTTCCCAGGACCTGGCACGCAATAGGACCTCCATAAGTATATGTCAAGTAAATGAGTAGATGTGAATAGATAGCTAAAGGAGAAAAGTGTGTGTTAATTTAGAAAGGGAGTGAAGAGTTTACCAGGTAGGTGAAATGTGACATGCAAAGGCCCTGTGGTAGGGCAGAGCATGGGCTGTTCAGGTGACTGAAAGAATACCACGTGGTTAGAGAACACCAGTGAGTGGAGGCAGGATGAAAGATACATGAAGTCGTGAGTGGGAGGTAAGAGAATGGAGCTGGTGAGGGAACTCCTGTGAGAAGGTCGGCCATGAGAAAGGAAGGAGAGAGAGCATAGTCACTGGAAGGGACATGGGGCGAAGGAGGCTTGGGGTATTATTTCTACTTGGTAAATTGAAACAAGACGCTTCCTGTAAAGACTTGTGTGATGTCAGTTGTTTTGCTGTTGTTTCCAGAGCATCTGTGGTCGTACCAGAAGAAAAGATGTCAGATATGTACAGCATTTTGCAGAGCATACCCCAAAGACAGATTGAAGAAATGCAGAGACAGGTAAGAGGCCGCGTCCAAGCACCGTGCTGGGGAGGTGACATGGGTGGTGCTGGAATGGAGACTTTGACTGCTTGGATACAAAGACAGTGGCTGAATACATGCGGGGGCACTTCCTGCCCTAGATCCATTGACCAAACTCAAACCACGTGGCAGCAGTGTTAGGCAAGTTGCGTCAAGGGCGGTTTGAAATGACAACTGTTGAGATTTTGGACTCTGCTGTGGCGAGCCTCTTGCAGTTTTAGGGTCTTACCACAGCGGTGTTCAGGATGCAAAGCTGAAGCTCCTTGGAAGGTTTGAGTCACAGCAGGCGATAGTCTTCATGACTGAGACGGCCGTGGGAGCGGGACCGTTTCAGGCAGTGCTGTGTGGCTGCTTACCATGAGGATGCTGTGGGGGGCCTGGCCTCGGTTCCCAGTTCAGATGGCTGGTGGTCCTCTCTTCTCTCCCCTTGAGCACCTGCCATCTTTCCGCCTCCCTTCCGAGTCTCTCTCCTGTCCTCTGATGCCCCTTTCCCTGGGCTGCTCCAACTGTCTCGGGTACTCCACTGGGTGTCCCATTTTGTCCTGCTTCTCTTTCTTTCTCCAGAACAAGATTTAATCGGGCTTACATTTCAAGTAAGGCAAAGACCTTCAAATCTAGTCCTCAGTGGGTACTGTACTTGTTGTTTCTTTTTGTTGAAATATCCCTAGGTAGGAGATGAGCAGAAGAGGCGCAGCAGGTTCTCAGCATTAAGTGTGGAACTGCCCATGCGTCCCCTGGTTTCAGATGGACACCTTCACCTTCAGGCAGGAAGCCTGCATTTAGCCTGGTCCCGAGACTAGGCAGGGCAGTCACCTAGTATGTGGAATGAGGATGGAACCTGGGATTCTCACTGCTCTTTTGTGTTTTTTAATGAGTCAGAGTCTCACTCTGTTGCTTAGGCTAGAGTGCTGTGGCGTGATCACAGCTCACCACAGCCTCAAACTGCTGGGCTCAGGCAATCCTCCTGCCTCAGTCCCCTGAGTAGCTGGGACTATAGGTGTTCGCCACCACGCCTGGTAAATTTCTTTTTTTTTTAAATCTTTCGTAGAGACAAGGTCTCGCTATATAGCCTAGCCTATCTTGAACTCCTGGACTCAAGCAGCCCTTCTGCCTCCGCCTCCCAAAGTGCTGAGATTACAGGCCACCACTGCAAGGCCCTCCCTGATTTTTAGATACAGCTTCAGTCTGCCCTCCTACTCTAACTCCACCCTCCCCCCACTTGGGCTCTGCCCTGTGACTGGAGTTTTTCTCCGCTGATTTAGGAGCAGTTCTCCTGAACCCATCATTTTAGTTACCACTTCCCTCTCTACTTTTCGGCTTCTGCGTTTTGTTGCTGTCATCTTGTCTCCCATTCTCTTTATCTTAGGGTGTTTATACCTTACATTTAAAAAATTCCCATGGCTTGCCATTTTAGGGTTTTGGGAGAGAGCGAAAGTTGGTGGCTGAGTCCAGTCCACCCTCTTGATCGTGGCACTTAATTTCTTGCCACATAGCGCTGAAGTCTGCAGGTTCTAACTTCAGGTTGCCTGACCCAAACGTCAGCTCTGCAGTTTACAGACTCTGTCTGCTTGGTGAGGATCCACCTCTCTGGGCCTCCGTAGCCCCATCTGTGTAGCATTTTGACTTTCTGATTTGAACACACGTCACAGGTCAGTCATAGCCTACCTGCGATTTCTTCACAGCATCCTCATGCTCATTTTGAGTTTCTGGGTTTTCTAATTGCTACTTAACTGCCAACTTTATCTGAGTTTTAGTGAATGAGACAATCAGTCTAGAGATCTCTAGGTTTTCCATCTAAACCTGTGTTTCTTAACACTTGTGTAGAAGAAAGTGCTTCTTGAAGAGTCACAGTGTTCTTTGTGCTACTTTTTATGGCATCTTGATTAATTAACTAAATACAGAATCATGTGCTAAATCAGATACCTTTTAATACTAGATTCTAGTTTAGAAAGGTTAAGAAAGAACTGGGCAGGAAACAATGAGAAAATTCTGTCCAGTTACCTTCTTCATTGTCCCACCCTCAAGTTGGGGAAGAGAACCATCTGGTTTTGGGGGCAGGGTGCCTACTGTCACCTACTGTCACAGACTACTGTTGTCCTGTGGAACACGGGGTGGGAGCTACGGGTCTGAGACAGACTTGCTTGCCATTTTCAGTAGCAGGCTCAGAATCTTAGAACAGTTGCCAATCATTTAAAGTAGGGTCCTTTTAGGTGACCTGGGTTCAGAGAGACACACTTGGAGTCAGGAGACTTGTGCATGAGCCCCAGCTCTGTCCCTATGAATTGTATGACTGTGATAAGTCACCAAAGCTCGTAAGGCTCTTTTTCCTCCCCTGAAGGGCTGGCTAAATCATCTCTCATGCTCCATGCAACTGGTACACATCTATGACATGCTTGTCCCTCGTGAGAATGTTACTCTCCTTGACAGCATTCCTCATTAAGTGATCATCTCTTCTTCCTGGAACAGCTCTGGTCACAAGGCCACTTACCTCCTCCAGTGGCGAACATACCACTCCGCCAGCTTACAAGAGAAGGGTGGTCCTGGCACTTACCTGCTGCCTTTCTCACTGTCCGCCTACTTTCTGATGCCCTCTTACCCTGTGCTGCTTTCCGACCCTCAGCAGCTCTCCACTGTGGTGCCTCATGGGTTCTGCTCTCCCTTCTCTGAGTATTTTGTTTTCTCAAATGACCTCCTTTTTCTCCCAACCTCACATTTCTAGACTGGACTGACTTCAACTAGATGTGAGAACATCTGCTTGAAGTAATTCCCAGACAGGTATAAAGGACAGGTTCAGCTACTCCTAGCTGCCACTAACACCCTCCTCCCCCAGTTGTAACAACCGGAAATGTCTCTAGACATTGCCAGTTGACCCCTTGGGGCAGAGGAGTGGGTGGGAATTGCTTTGTTTGAGAACCACTGTTCCAGGTTAATGTCTCTTCTTTCTAAGACAAGCGAGAGTTCTTTTATTCTGTAACATAAGATACTCTTTCCAAAGTATGCTTACCTTCCATCAATTTCACCTGACCTGGGCAGGAGTAACTGAAAAGATAGCATCAACCTGATTCTGAAACGTTCTTATGAATTCTTAGGGAACCCTGTTGGGGGGGGTCGGATAGGAATCTCTTTGTAAGACAGAGGTGAACTTTTAGGGGAAGGCGGAAGGCTTCTTGCATCGGCAGTTGATACCCTGGATCCGCTCCATGCTCGCCTGGTCAGAGGGCCGGAGGGTCTGATTTGCCTTTGAGAAACCCTGAACCACGCGAAGGAGCTGCACAGACAGCTGTAGCCAGCAGGGGTCTCCATCCCCTTGGAAGTGACTCCTCTTCCTTGTGAGTGTTCTGATCTTGCCGATGTCCTAGGTGCTGTCAGCCACTCTGTGTCCTCATAGCTGTTCCTCAGAGACCGGTTCTTTCTGATGGAGAAGAAATCATGCTCTCTCTAGATGAGGTCGAGCTGAAGTTTCTGATTTGACCCCAGAAATGTGGGGTAGGATCTTGGTGAGGAAGATGTTGTGGCAACATTTTGCAGCTTAGGTAGGGTTTAGGATCTGAAAGCAACCATCTGACTGATGTCTACGGTGGTGAAAGTCCTTGTTGTGACTTGGGAGTTCAAGTGTACCAAGGGAGAAAGACATGCTGCCTGATAAGGAAAGGAAAGGAAATCCCCTCTTGACTTTAGATGTGATCGAGGCAGCCATAAAGTCAAGTACAAGGCTAGAGCCTAAGTAGGTAGGAGCTGTAGTTAAGCTAAGATTCTTGAAGAAAAGTACAACGTGCGTCCCTGGTATCTACTCCCGAAGGCCACCAATGAGCAGTTACATGTGGCATTGAACAGGCCAGCGGCTGCTTATAGAGTTTTTGTGGGTAAGTCAAAAAAACAACTTCTTAAGTTAGTAGAGGCAAGTAGTGTAACAGTGCAAAGCAGGCTTACCAATTGACTTTTTATTGTCCTATGAGCTAATTAACTAGTTAATTAATTTTTTGAAACCCCAATCGGCATTTTTCAGGGCAAGATTATAGGAGATAATGAGAAATCTGTGATCCCCATTCCAGTATTCATCTTGGGGATATATGTGTATAAGCACAAAGGAAATTGAGGGGATAGTATCAATTTTCCTACGTACATTAGGGGTCTGAAATTCAAGGGAGAAAGGTCAGGACGGACTTACTGGAGAGGTACATTTGAGATAGGCCTCCAAGACAGGAGTCCATCAGCCATCTTTCTTAATTGGAAGACAGCCAAAAGTACGCAACGAAATATTTTTCTGTCGTCAATTGGAACATTCATATTCCCAGTCTTCCTTGAACCACAAAGAAAAACTACACAATCTAGGGTCTCGGAAGACTGGGTAGAGACTAGACAACATCGTTAGAAATGTTTGTGTGGACAAGGAGGAGGGTGTAAATGGATCCCCGGTTTATCTGTTGAGTAGAATTTCCAAACATTCTTTTATTGGTCAGTGACTCCACTAGCAGTGACCTCTAACCTCAGCCACACTAGGAGGGGGAAGTCAGGAGCCTGCCTTGTCTTTGAACTCTTCTTTGTACTCAATTGACTAGGAGCCTTTGAGGTGGCAGAAACATCCAGCATCTTCTTTCCTCTCTAGCCTTTAGCACTTGGAGCATGTTAAAACATCAGTTTCTTTTCATTCTGTCACATTCTGTCATCTCAATGTGCCTTCATGTTTTCCTGTTAAGATACCAAATATTTATACTGCAGAGAAGGGCTTGAAATATAATGGGATAATTAAGAAAAAGACCAAACACTTCTATGTAAGCAAATAAATCCCCAGGCATCTGGTGGCCTTACCTTGTAGGACTACAGGTAAGCCTACTTGTGGTTGAGAAGAGGGCAGAAGAAGCCATGGAACGGCAAATGTGTTTGTGTACACCAAGCTTGTGTACTTTATGGGAGGGCTTCTATAAGGGGCTCTTATTTTATCTTGTCTGAACACAGTTTGGACACATTGAGTTATTTGG